CAGACACAGAAAACAAGAAGATAAACAAAAAGAGTGCAGTTTAGATGTAAAAATCACTGAAAAGCAATTTTTTGGTAGGGGGTTGGTGAGTATGTAAATTGGTGCAACTAAGACAGAAGCAGGTATCCACAGAAGGGCACCATCTCACCCGAAGATATTGGGCTGGAGTTATCCACCCTTAAAAACTCAAGTTTTTTGAGACAGGGTAACCCAGGTAACCCTAGAATTCCCTACATAGAGTCCAAACTGTCTTTAAACCCACAATGATCCTCCTGCCTCAGCCTCTCAAGTACTGAGATTACAGATGTGAACTGCCATGCCTTTCTGTTTTATATCGCTATGCCAAGAATTCCTTTGATGTTCATTTATCGTAAATAAGAAAAGACTGGGGCACAGGGACATCTGACTCCCCAGCTGACAGTTAGACTTCCTCTTGCTGCTCTGATTACCCTCAGCAAAAACATTATCAAACAGTCACCTGCCCTTACGGCAGCACCAGTGGTCCTGCATATTCCACATGGTCATCTCATTAGATGCCGAAAAAGCTTTTGACAAAACACAACATCCCTTCGTGATAAAGGTCGTGGAGAGAGCAGGGATACAAGGAGCATTCCTAAGCATAATAAAGGCAATATACACCAAGCCAACAGCCAACATCAAATTAAATGAAGAGAAACTTCCAGCGATCCCACTGAAATCAGGAACAACACAAGGTTGCCCACTCTCTCTAACAAGATAGTTCTTGAGGTTCTAGTTAGAGCAATAAGATACCAAAAGGAGATCAAGGGAATACAAATTGGAAAAGAAGTGAAACTCTCTTTGCTGAGAATATGATAGTTTACATAAGTAATCCCAAAAATTCTACCAAGGAACTTCTACAACTCATAAACACTTTCAGTAATGTAGCTGCATATTCCATGATGCCTTGGGAAAACTACACGGCCAAAGCCGATTGCCTTGACCTGAGAGCCCGCCTCAGTCAGACTACTTGAAAAGCCTGTGCCAGATTTCTATGCTATCACAACCTAATTCTAGGACCCTGCAACTATTTCCACCTAGACCAGAGCATGAGCACAGACTGGTACTAAAAAGGATAGGCTGGGATTGCTGGGAGCATCTCTGACTATCTCGCATGGCTCATTTGGCGAGTCTCCTGAAAGACACTCTTCTGTGGTTTTCCTCAGTAGTGTAGCAAAAAAAGTTTAATAAAAGGCTTCTTCTGGGTAGCTTTTCCTGTCTACTTGTAGAAGTGTGGGCCAAGTTGGTAACACGAGGGAAGAAGCAGCAGAAATGGCAAAGAAGTGGTGATGGAAGAGGCGGTGGCACAGGGACGTCTGACTCCCTAATTAGCAGCTGTTGGGCTTTCTCTTGCTGGCCCCAAAGCTCTTTCCAATGATTCTGACATGAAGCAATTAGGCAGCCAATGATACTCGTTAATGAGTAAAATGCACTATGGAAAAACATAACTGAAGTGGACACGGTTTGTAGAACGGAGGCGTAAAGATGGAGAGGAACAAAGTCTGAAGGCTTTGCTTCTTCTGGAAGAAAAAAAAATGCATGCTTTCGAACAGAGGACTGAGAACAAATCCAACCACAACAGAAGAGTAGGCAAACAATGTTGCCACGTCCTAAGCTGTCTTCCACTCTTCTGCGCTCCTCTTTCCACCCAGCTCCTAATTCTTTCTCCGCAAGCATTTCTCTCTCCGGCAGACCCTGGCGCCACAACCTAACATAGTCTCCATCCGTAGAGGTGGGGATCGTGGTTTCGATTGATTACTATCATGAAGCCAATCGATGTCCTACTGTGCGACCCCCTTTTCCTCTCTGAATTTATCTTGACCTCAACCTTCCCAACAATCTCCATACTAACTCGAGCTTTAAAGCGTCCAGGTTCTCCTCGTCCCTCCCTGCAACTCCAGCTCCCCATCCCCTTCTCGAGAGCACAAGTTCACACATAAACCTAGGGTATGAGGAAAAAAAGTTGGGTTCTCCTCGCGGAATCGGACCCTATCCGGCTGTGCCCGGTGACACTTACGTGACATTGGCAGCGCTAGGACAACCCGGGAGCGGACGGCGGTCGCCATCTTCTCCCACAATGCCCCACGGCTCGAGCTTCCGCCAACTACGGCAACAACGCGGGGCCAAATAGTATTCGCCGTCCTCTCTGCGCAGGCGCCAACTGAGAACGGACCTGGCGGGTTATGGTGAGAAGGGAATGAAAGCAGACGAGTGGAGAGAGAAAAAAGAAAGGAAGGGGAAAACAGAATCCCGGTTCTGGAATGGGCTGTGAAGATCATCTTATATTACTGGGGAGTCTGCAGTTCAGACTCAACCAGGGACTAACTCCGGGGCGTGCAAAATGGCCAGCCTTCAAAGTCCAACACTTGGTGGGCTGTTACCAGTCAGGCAACTCTGCGGGCGTGGGGCTGGGATGGAGGAGACGTAGCCCTGCCCTTGCGAAGTTGCAGGAAGGAAAAACTTTTCAAGCGAAGCGAGGGTCTGCGCAGAGTGCACAAGAGGAGAGGAGAAATAAGAACGCAGAAGCGACCCCTCTCCCCCGGCTGCCAAAGTAAGTGCTCGTGGATGCCTTCAAGAACGTCCTTTGGGGCTTTAGTGCTCACTGCCCCAGGTGAGCAGTAAAGCCCCAAAGAAATGCTTGCTTATACGTCTGCACCAATCCAAACCTGCTCATAGGTGACCTCTCCAGGGACCTTTGACCTTTCCAGGTCCCCTATCATGAGTTTTGGTTGGCTGGTGTTTATGTGTTTATTTGGTTTTGAATTTCGTTTATAGAAACACACTAACCACTGCCTGACCTATGACTCTGAAGTTCTTTTTTTGGAATTTTGAGACAGGGTCTCCTTATGAAGTCCTGGTTGGCTTCGAACTTGTGATATTCACGGCACTGCTTTAGGCATGAGTCACCACCCCAGGCTGACCTAGAGATTCATAAATGGATTTGAAATACGAACCTCCTAAAATGTGATATAAAATTGCAACTCAAGTTTGACATTCAACACTTTTTCTATGGGAAAAAACAGTGGTGGCCTTACCTAGAGAAGGTGTTCGTTTTTTAAACTGGGCCTCGTTGAAAATCTGTATTGTTCTAGAAAGAGATACCTAGAGCCTGAAGATATTCCGAAAAAAATGAAAAGCATTTGCATTTTAAAGTCTTTTTCAGGATGTGGTGGTACACACCTGTAATCTGAACTCTCGGGAGGCAGAGGCAGGAGGAGTTCCAGGCCAGCCTAGGGGACCTTGTCTCAAATTTTAAAAAATTAAGAGCTCCATTCCAGTCAACCTTGATATACCTGAGTAGAAGACAGCCAGTTGTACAGTTCCCAGAAGGAAGTTTCAAGGACACTGAACATTCTAGAAATCGATTAATTGATTAGAACCTTAATGATAGTGGAGAGGGTGGGATGTTACATACCCAAAGCCAGATTATCGTGGCCTATCCTTAACCTTCTAAATAGCCATTTATTCTCCATCTTTGTGTGCCCTGATGTCCTTCTGACTGTCTCCTGCAGTCTTTGAGGGTGTATCGGGACCATTAGATTCCACTAACCAGTGCTAAAAATGTCATCAGAGAGCCTCTGAGGTCCCTCTGTATCCAGGGTTTCCTGATTTACTATAACCCGCTCTTCTGATGCTTCAGCACATGCATCTGAAAAGTGTTTATTTGTAATTCTTTTTGTTCCGTTACTGCAAGAACTTTCATTGTTGGGCCATGAAACTTAGGGTAACCTGGATTTGGTCACTCATATCTGGCTTCACAATAAACTATACCTCTTGCCCCCTTTTGAGGTGAGCTGTTTTGTATGTGGTCCCAGTAACCCTATGAAACATACCTCGGTCTTATCAATAAACTGCCTAGTGTAGGGGAATCATTCTAGACTTGGTCATTCTTTCAGTGCTCAGTGGAGATAGGGTCCATTGTTCATGTCTGGGAAGAAAGTGTGTGTCGCTGGGGTCGGCAGTCGACTGGCCCTGCGTAGGGACTGCTTGTGAGTAGGGTTGTAAGATCCGTACGCTCCCTACTGTTGTTTACTTTTTACTTTATTTACAGAGGACTGAAATGAGGGCACCAGATATGCAAGGCAAATGTCTCAGTCCTTCTTACTTTGTTTTGAGACAGTGTCTCACTGAGTTACCTTAACCTTGAACTCTTTGTAGCCGAGGCTGACCTTGAACTTCAGTTCTCCTAAGTAGTTGAGGTGCTGTGAGTACTGGTCTACACCTCCAGACCCAGCTCACCCTACTGTTTGTAAGAGCTGTCATTGACCAAATCGAATTAGAAAAGAAACCCTTTAACTGCGAAGCTCAGTAATGCTGAATTGCCCTGCATTTCTTGACCTCATCCTTCCTTGATTCAGAACTCACAATTTACTATATTACCATGTTTGTTAATATCACATGTCACAATTGGTATCTTAACATACTTTCCAAGTTCTGATAAATTGACAGCCCCATCCCCATTTTGCAGCTGCCTTCTAATCCCTGTGTGGTAACTGGGTCATCTGACATCTCTGAGTCCAGCGCTGCCTCCTGCTCACACTTGGGGTATCGGGGCGTCCTCTGGTAGTGAGAGAGCACTAATCTGAATACCCAGAATATTCGCCCCTTTTCCCGTGACCCGCAAAGTGCTGATAGCAGGTGTGCCCGCTCAGACTCCAGGGAGGTACCCGGAAAGACTCTGCAGTAGCCAGCAAGCCCCAGCCCCCTCTTTTAAAGGTGAAAAAGATCAACAACAACAACAAAATGATAGTTGGCGAAGAGCTTTACTGAAGGATGCCAATAGCCAGCCAGCTTTCCACTCTGTTAGGGTGTGTTGTTTGGTTTTGTGTGTTGGGTTTGGGGTTTTGTGGGGTTTTTACTGTTGTTTGGGGTGGGGGTGTTGTTTTTGTCACCCATTGGAACTCTTTTCCTTGGTTAGATTGTTTTTGTACCAGGCATAGTGGTGCGTGCCTGTGATACAGTCAGCAGCAACAGTTATAGAAACACAGTCCCACAGTTACGCCATATCACCAGCTTTGACACAAACAATTTCAGGCTGAGCCAGTGTGAAACAGGATCCTCTTCTCAGCTGCCATCTGAATTTGTTGGTGTTACTCAGCTGTTTTAAATGAAATCCATTGGCATGACTTCCCTTCCTGTACTTCCCCATCTCAGACACTCAAAGAGGTGAGTTAATAGGAGAAAGCAAGGCCAGTCCTTCTTTTTTTTATAATTTATTTAATTTTATTTTTTGTACATTGGTGTGAAAGTGTCAGATTCCCCTGGAACTGGAGTTAGAGACAGTTATTAGCTATCATGTGGGTGCTGGGAATTGAACCTGGGTCCTCTGGAAGAGCAGTTAGTGCTCTTAACCACTGAGCCATCTCTCCAGCCCAAGGCCAGTCCTTCTAACTAAATGTCCAGAGCCATAAAGTGTATTTCCACCCCTCCTCTTTTCCTATTGAGTACTCAGTCTTAGGCAGCCTCACATTGTTGCTATAGAAACAGTGATGTCACCAGTTACAATTCTGATGTCACCTCCTAGTCCCAACAAGAAGGAGGTGCATGGAAGGCTGGGGGAGGAAACAAGATCTTCAGCTGAGCAAGAACATCCCAGCATCTTCATTGACTTTAAAAGTATATTCTGGAATCTTCTGTGGTTCGCTGTTCCCAGAGCTACAGAGGTAGGGAAGCCCACGGGGTTGGTAAGAGAGCCCATTTTCTGATCCCGTCGTTAGAAAGATGGTGGGCAGCCTTTTTACTTTCAACTCAGCTTCTTGCTTCTGCCCTGCCTGTCTTAATTTCATCTTTGAGTACTGTGGAAATAAAAGGACTCCCTCAGTAACATCCCACACACCCTCCCTCTTCCTTAAGTTCCTGAGTTACTTACAGTTTGACCTGACCTGCTATCCCAGACCATCATTTTGGAGGCCCAAGGCACTTTCTCCTTCCCCTCCTCCCAGCGTGATGGTGATGTTGAGAGTAGGGATTACCTGCCTGCTGGCTTTTCCAGCTCTCCTGTCTCTTTTCTCTCTAAAATCATGCTGGTATAGCTGAGTCCGATTCTTACCCACTTGAAGCCTCACATTTTTTATAAAGAATCGAAGCTTTGGTTAGGCGGCAGAGCACTGGGAATGGGTGTTGTAGCCCATGAAATAGCATCTGTATGGGGGCTCTGGGCGAGAAGACACTCTAGGGGAAGTAAAGCTAGTGAAGCCTCCCAGAGTGAGTGCTGAGATGCACAGCCCTCAACTCCATAGTGAGAAAATCCCGAGAACGCCAGTGTCGGAGTCAGCAAGGTTTGTTGGATTTCTACAGTGTTCCAGACAGAAAGAACGGACAGAGGAGGAAGATGGGCATTCTTCGTGAAGACGAAGGCATTCACCCGTATTAAAATGAACACTAAACTTTCCTTGAAAGAGCTTCAAAATATGACCAGATATGAAGAAACCCCATATGATCCTTAATTCTGTTGCCAAGAATTTAGTCTTCATAAGTTTAGAAATCTTGAGAAATTAGGAAGTGGGGGTGGGGTGGTGTCCAGTAGAGTTGTGGCCTGGGGTAGGGCAGGCCTGAGCAGACCTGCCCCACTGTTGGCATTCATGGTTTGCACTCTCCCACTTTGAGGTAATAATCACTTTGACACCCTCCCCCATCTTTTGGTCTTGTTTCTGGTTTTTTTTTTTTCTCATAACTGTAGCTCAGGCTTCTGAACTCATTGTATAGTCTAAGCTGGTCTCAAATTTGCAGCCATTATCCTGCCACAGCCTCCAAGTGCTGAGGTCCCGCTGTCTGATTGGCATTGGTGTGGTGTGTGTGTGTGTGTGTGTGTGTGTGTGTGTGTGAGAGAGAGAGAGAGAGAGAGGGAGAGAAAGAGAGAGAGCGAGAGAGAGAGAGCGAGAGAGAGAGAGAGAAAGAACATGCATGCATGGAGAGGTCAGACATAAAGGATTTTCATCACTTGCTCTCTGCTAATTTTTTGAGAGAGAGTCTCTCACTGACCCTGAAGCTTACCAGTTTGGAGTTCCAGGTGTGAACCACCACACCCAGCTTATCAGGTGGATGCTGGAGAATAAATTGATTAAATTTGGATCATTATGGTTGCGTGGTTTTAGAGTAAGCACTTTAGTGACTGAGCCATCTTCCTGGTCCCCTCACTGTGTGTCTGTGCGTGCACCCATACACACACACTCACGCCTGCGTGCCCAGAGGCCGGAGGAATATGTGTAGTGTGCTGCTGATCTCTTCTGCCTTCTTCCCTGGAGACAGGGTTTCTCACTGAACCTGCTCCTAGGCTAGTAGCCAGCAGACTCACAAGCCTCAGGATCCTGTCTCCACCCATCCCCCTTTGGGCTGGCGCTGCAGGCTCAAGTGAGCAGCCACATTTAGGTTTTGGTTGCTGCTAGAGAGTCAAACTCAGGTCTCCTTTCTTTCTCAGCAAGTGCTCTTGCTCCCTGAGCCGTCTTCCCAACCTCACATTGGAGTTTTTGAGGAACCTTTGTAAATCGGTCCATTGCGACCACAGAATATGCCAAATCTCCCAGGCTGTTAACATAAAGAGCTAGAATAGCTAAAGAAAGAAATCCATTGGTTCTAATATTCTTATGGGCTTCAGTTTCCCAATCTGTTAGGTGAGAACATGAATTAATTGAGAAGTAAATGACACATTTTATATGTTGACTTTTTTCTTTGTCAGTTTAACAGGTAACACAGAGCTATGACTCTACCACTTGGTTACTTTTTGATTTTGTTTTTTTGGGTTTTTTGTGTGTGTATGTGTGACAGGGTCTCACTCTGTCACCCAGAATGGTCTGGAACTAGCTGTGTATCCCTGGCTGACCCCGAAATCAGAAAAATATATCTGCTTCAGCCTCCTGTGTTCTTGTGCACTTGGTTTAAAGGCAGGAAGCATCACACCCAGTTCTAGGTTTCAACTGATAGATACAGTATTCACTTGACTCCTTTCATCGTTTTAGATCTTCCTCTTTATTGTGGGAAACATACACATTAATTTCAAAATCTGAAAACCTTTATGGCTCATGTCTGTTATAGCAGCACTTGGGAGGGAGGCAGGAGGATCATGAATTCAAGCATCCTCAGTTATATATTGTGAGTTTAGGGTCAACCTAAACTGTCATGAGTCCTTCTCTCAGCAACAACAAAAGGCAAGAAAGTCACGTGCCTATGTATATAATGCCATCGTCCAGACAGCGTAGGGAGATTTAGCTGACTACAAGCTTTATGTTTGCAGACAAACACACAGAAAATAGACTAAAAACATTAGAATATATGTAAGCCAAGAGTTTGCAAGATATACAAAACTAGTGAAACCTGCTCTGTGAAAAGAGTACTGAACATTTGGGATGTTCATTTCTTTGCATTATGGTATAGGAAGATCTGGCCAAACTTATTGCCAAAGCATTGGCATTTTAAAAATCAATATATGGCTTATCATCATAATTCATTTGAGCAAGCCATTTCTTTTTGTTCCCAGGTTCTCCGATTTTTAAGAAGGAGAAAAATGAGCTGCCTGGAACTACAAATGGGCAGGACTTGTATATTCACTCATTCAACAGAAAATTACTAAGCACCAACTTTAAAGCTACCAGCTATTAGGAGGGATTTGCTTAGTTCAGGAAGCCACTTAATAAAGCAAATAGGGTACCTGTGGACAGTTGCCATATTAGGTAGGCTGAGACTGTGAAATGAGTTATGTTGGAGACTTTGAAGGAGAAACAGTAATATTCAACTAGGGACTTAAAAATTTGCCGTGGATAGGATAACTGGCTTGGGTTCAAGTAGGGAGGTTTAGAGGAATGTTTTGGAGGCATGTGTGCAGTTAATGCTGGGTCCAAGAGTAAAATGCACAAATGTCCTTTATTAATGTCTCAGAAGAGCTAGACTGAGGAAGTTAGTTGAAATAGAGACATGCTTTATGTACTCTTTATGAGGACAGATATTTCCCTCTAATCTGAAAAAAAAAATGCTTACAAAATGTTTTCTGATCTCCCCATCCCACCTGCTTGTCTCCGAGCTGGTGAAGTGGGAAAGTAGCCGTTGTTCTCGTCATGAAGCCGAGAGTGACAGTAGCCGCTGAAGAAATGATTGGCCTAAAGTAAAATGACTTTTTACTGAGACCTCTCAGAACACACCAAGAGTAGTATGTGGATCCCTCCCAGAAGTCTCCACGTTACTCTGGCTCCTCACTTCTATGTGCACATGAAAATAAGAAGTCAAAGTCATCATTTGGTAATAAGAACAGTGTGGTCCATATATAAGTTTGGTCATTTTTCTCTGTCTTTCTTTACAGAATCCTTATCTATTACATGGCAGGAGGGGCGGGTAGACTTAGGGATAGTGAAGATACCAGCAAAGCTCATCCGGAGTCTTCCTTGTATCTCAGAACCCATCCTCAGTAAGAGTAAGTGACATCCTTTTCTTACTTGTTTATGCTTACCTTGTATCTGATTGTTGTATGTAGGCAGCCTGACCAAGGCAGAGAGTCTGTTGCTTTAGTTCTTCTCTACCAGAGTCACCCCACTTGGATGAAATGTAAACGAGATGAAAAGACCATTGTTTGTGGATATTATGCTGTCAACATTCTAGGTCAAACTGCGACTAAATTTTGCCTTTCTTGGCCAAGTAACAGTACTGTTAATTTTTTCCCATGCTCATGACACAAAGCATAAGAATATGTATATAGAAGTATGACTCAGGAATATAGTACTTGCAAAAAAAAGGCAAATGTATATATAATCATGAGATTCTAAGAACAATACATGGTTTAACTTCATTAGTATGAACCTCTTTGCAAAGAGAACAGAACTTTAAAATACAAAATTAAAGATTAGAAAACCTTCTAAATTATCTGTCCTAGATTGCCTTCTGTTGTGATAAAAACACTGGCCAAAAACAACGTGGGGAAGAAAGGGTTTATTTCATCTCACAGGTGGGATGAAGTCCATCCTCAAGGGAAGCCATGGCAGGAGCTTGACGCAGACACCCAGAGGAGTGTTGCTTACAGGCTTGCCCAGCGCCTGTTCTTACATAATCCAGACCATCTATGCAGACATGGTTCCTCCCCTCAGTGAGCTGGGCCATCCTGTATTAATTCCTAATCTAGAAAATGCCCCACAGATGTGCCCACAGGCCAGTCTCATAGACATATTCCTCAGCTGAGGCTCCCTCTTCCCAGGTGTCAAGTTGACAGCCAAGATCAGCCATTCCATTATCTTTCCAAAGGTCACCCTGGCCCAGGAATTCTCAGTTCTTCGTGTCCATTAGAATCACGCAGAAAGCTTCTGAGGACATTTTTAGTGAGATTTCTCTGTTACCTGTATTTGGGGCGAGGGGCACCACATGCCATGATGGTGCATGTGCAGCGCAGAAGATAACGTGTTGGAGTGTGTTATCTCCTCCCCTCACACGGGTTCTGGAAATCAAACTCAATTTGTCAGACTCAGTGACAGATGCCCTTTACCTGCTGAGACACCTTGCTGGCCCTCTCACGAAATCCAGTGTCTCTATTTCCTCAATGAAAAAAGTTTTTCATTTAGAATTTTTATTTAATACATCCCCCCCCACTCCGCTTTTCTGTACTGAGTCAAACCCAGACTACTACTTAGCTACACCCTCAACCCCAGCTTCAATTTCTTCCCACTCTTGAGTAGTTGCCCGGGTTCCTTGTAACTGTAAGCTTTCTTGGTCTCACTGATCCCGGTGGACCAGTTTTTCTCCTGCTCGCTAGTTCCCGCAGCCGCTTATGAAATAATCACTCAGGCTAATATATTAAATCTAATTGTTTGGCCAATGGCTTGGGCCTCTTACTGACTAGCTCTAACAATAAATTAACTTATTTCTAATAGTTTATATTTTACCATGAGGCTCATGGCTTACTAGTAATGTTCTGACCACTTTCTCTTTGGTGGCTACATGGTGTCTCCTCGACTCTGCCTACTCTTTCTCTGTATCTTTGTTTGGAGTTCCTACCTAGCTTTACTCTGCTAATCATTGGCTGAGACAACTTCATTCATCAACTAATAGCAACACTTATACAGAAGAACACATCCCACATCAGAGATAGATATTGGGTTCATTCTCAAGATCAGAAAAGCATAGCAGCCAGCCACTGCCTCTTACCTCTACCTCAAACCAAAATGATAATCCTGCCTCCATGAGTCCTCAGAAAGACACTGAGCGGAGACATGTCTCCTCCCATCCTGATACCCTCTCACTGATACTGGGATTAAAGGCGTGTGACTCCCTAGTACTGGGATTAAAGGCA